CACTTTCGGTGCCCAACGCTGCTTCTGGATCCTTATATAGAACAAAGCTAGTACTATTTTTCTCGCGCATCTTGGCCCCGAACCCCTGGTTCGTGCTGAGACGAAGGAGCGCAATAGGTTGCGGTTCCAGTGATGCGTGTGTTCGAGCAGCATGGAGCAGTGGAAGCGTCTGTTGCCTGCAGGTTCGTGCTGAGACGAAGAAGCGCAAGGCTCCCGCACCTGTAATCCCTCGCGCGCTCCCCCTCCTTCAGCCGGGGTCGGCGGATTATAGTGACACAATGTGGCACGATTCGAGTGCTAAGCTGGCACACTCCTACCTCTGTGATGATTGGGAATTTTACTCTGTTGAGATAATTGTATCCTTTGTTCTGCTTTCTTTCGCTGAGTACTTACTCTGACCGCAGTGAATCACCAGTGCATAGGTCAGCAGTGCCACCGAAGAGCTCCTCCCAGAACCTCACTGCCCAGGCGCCTCGCAAAAGGTGATCAAACCAGAATGGCTCAGATGGATTCCATAGAAATGCTCAATGGTCGAAGCATGTACCAGTCCTTTGGCCTTGCTAATTGATTTGTAAAACAGATCATGGTCATTTGTATGCCAGCATGTCATGTTGTGCCAGTCCGCTTTCAGGCCATACCTCCAGAGTATCATTACCAGGAGACCTTCCAAAGTGTGAAGGCACATTCCGAAGACGATGAGGACGATCACTTTTCCTGACCACTCCAGTGACAGAAACGTGCGCTAACGGCCATGGATTTGGGCACTCCCTGTTTCCAGGTTCCCAAGATCAGACGTATTGGAGTGTAACGACGTGGTGTTTTGTGATGTGAAGTGCCATGCGGTAATCAGTGATGCGGTGAAGCGTAATGCAGCGAGGTGCAATGTTTTCGGATGTGAAGTGTAGTGTGGTGATTCTTGAGAGGTGCCCTCAGTGTGCCAGCTCTCAGTAAAGAGAAGTGTGAACGTATGCTACTTAGATATTTAGATTCCGCAACAGGTTAAAGTGATTGGCTTGAGGTAGAACTCCCCGATCTTGCCAATCATCATTGACATTATTTGAGCCTCCCTGCAATGGCATTAGAGTAGCATTCCCGATTTGCGCACATCAAGGGCCAATCGCGAAATTGCATCAGTTAACCAGCTTTCAGCAGAGAGAAGGGACAGGAGTAAAATGCTTGTCTGACTTAGGAGTTAGGGTCTATGTATATAGAACTCTCTGATCTCGCCGATCATCAATGGCATCATAAAGGTTCTTGCATTTGTTGTATAGGGTAGCATTCACGAATATCAAAGGCCCAATACTTGGGAATGTCAGCCCACGTGCACGTCCTGCATCATTTGCAGCACCTACAAATATCAGACCAATTTGCACGAAGAGACAGTTTGCAGGCATTAAGAAAGGTCAATTGCACTACTATGGACTATGGACCAATAGTTATACCGTTATGCCCCGCTCTCAGTTTTGAAGCAAGGTCAGCACCACGGTCACCACGGTGTTTATCTTTCCAACTGCGCCATGTTTGTGCAACAAGGAGCGCACACTCTCGGAAAGGAGAGGCGTTGCAGCATGCATGGAATTGATCCAAAAAGGAAAGGTAAGCTATCGAGTCCAGCCCTTGGAACAGAGAAGCGTGGTGGCACACTAGGTACCGACCACTTTGCATCACTTCACCGCTGCAACTTCGGAAACGCCCGAAAATCGCCCCACGGGACATGTCATGAGACATGACCACGTCACCCCGGGTGTCACCGGTCGATCGGGAATCGCTGCGGCAAGCGGATTGGATTGAATTCACGAGAAATCGCATGGAATGTCTACTTTTGGTCACTTTTTCTTTGGACATCTCTACTTACCTTAGATGCCTTTCTCATCCTTTCTCTACAAAGCATCACTTTTTAGATAGATGTCACACTTGCGCAACCCTGACGTATGTCTTAAATCGTCCGCCGACTCCGTTCCCCCGCACAACTGCGCAACGGACACGACCATCTCCCATGGTTTCCTAGCACCTGCCACGCTTGAGCCACGCTCGTGCGCTACGGTCCAACACGTATCCCGCACCTTGCCCCGCCTCCACAGCTCTTCAGGCACCAGCTTTTCACAACTCGGACGCTTTCTCTTCGACGCTTTCGTGGATCTTTCTTATGATTCAGTTGTATAACATAAGAGGAACAGCGGTTGTCTGCTTGGTAACAACGGGATCAACCAGAAAGTCAAGCCGCAACCGGTGACCGGACGCTGTGGTAGGTCTCACCTGGCTTCACTCCACGAGGCGGGGAAGAAAAAATGACCCGCTCGGTCAACCGCTCGGTCCACAGAACCCCTCGGGTTCTGTTCAGGTGAAGTGCCCTACCACAACCCGTACAAAGAGCCGCCTGGATGCAACCTGTGTGTTCTGTTGCGAGAATCCCATCAGAAGGATTCAGAAGGCTGAATGAGGCTGAATGAGACAGCATGTGTCGTGACAGTGAGGCTTCAGCAACATCGTATGGCTGTTCGCTTTCTTGTTTGTTTTGTGCTCTAAGGTTGGGTTGTGCCTTCTCATCCGCTATGACCTGACGGTAGTCAGCTGTCTGATTCCCTTGCATGTAGTGCTGAGGTGTAACAGTTGCCAGACAGATTTTGAAACTCTAAATCAAAGACATCCACCCTGGGTCCTTGAGTCCTTTACCCTCTGGGAACAAACGTTTCAACAATTTCAAAATCTGGCACTATTCAAACTGCAGCTCCATACAAAAATCATCAACCATCGCTGTTAAAATGGAGTTCCCACCAAGACTGTTTCACAGTCTTTTGGTTTATTTGCGACTGGAGATATTCCTGTATAGTTGTCTTGAGTATTGGCTGCTGAGCAAGTGGAGTACTGGATACTTCGGATAGTATTGAATAGCAAATTATGCGCTGGTGGACTCAGCTTTTTTTTGCTTTCCCAAAGTCCAGGAGGCAGGTGGCAGAATTACTGTACATGTCAGCGTGCGGGGAACCTGTGTGGGCCTTTACTGCTCAGCTCAGCTTCACTGAAATGCAAAATCACACGATGTGAGGTGCAGACTTTCAGTAAAGCAAATTGCCCACTTGCGACAGGCAAATATGTCACGATGGCACACCATTTCACATCATCAGTTCAGAAGTGCATGAAGCTCTACCAGCCGTTGTTTCTAGCAGTGATATCCTAGTTTCTCTCTCAGATGCTTCATACAAAGAGACAAAAAGCATGTGTTTACTTCGATTATTGCCCAACCGGCAGATTGTTGGCATGAAGCGTGCCAACAGCCATGGATCTTGAAGGCTACGGAGAGTTCACCGGTGTCTCGGAGGACGAGGATGACGACATTGCACGCTTTGAGAGGCAGTGTGCAGAGCGTGCCAGAGCCGAGGGGGAGCTGCCAGAGGAGGGTTCTGAGGAGGAGGATGAGCAAATTAGAAAGAACCGCCTCATGGGTGGAAGGAAAGATAGTGGACAGCCTCAAGATCCCAGTGAATGGCAGGAAAAATGCGAACTTTTACAGGATAAGCTGGGAAGGCGAGAAGCTGAGCTTGCTCAGGTCTCTTGGCTCAAGAATTATGTTTCTGTTGCCGGATTGCTTTGTTCCGATGCTCTTGTGTCTAGTGACTAGTGAATAGCTTTTTTGGTTATCTCGCAGTCCAAGCCAACTTATGTACAGTAACTGTCCCGGTTTTTCAGCTATCAAACGCTCCAACATATACAAATATATAATATATAAACGTATATACGTATAAAGCTAGATACATATTGTTTTCCACGTAGCCTGTATATATATAATATATAATATATATAATATCATGTGAGTGGGCTTTCCGGATATTTCTTGAAGCAAACCCTCCAAAACGGAAACTGGCGGAGACCAACGGAAACTGTTGCTGACCTAAGGTCAAGGCTGATTTGGAGATGCTTCGAAGTGATGGTCTTGGCCCAGACGATCCGCAGACGGCATTGAAGCAACGACTCCTGGAGCTGACGAAGAAGAACCGACGGCTGCAGGCCGAAAGCGAAGCGCGCGGGGTCCGTGCCGAAAGTGAGCATCAATGAGATGTGTTGTGACCAACGTTGAGTTGGGTGAAATTTCTTGTGAAACCACACTTTCACCATTTGGAGCCATGAATCAAAGTCAGCGACTTTGCTTGTGTGCAATCTGTTTGCAACACACTGAGTGCTTGGACTGAGCAGGTGACTGTAGAGGGACAGCGAGTCCGAGTCAAAGAGTTGGAAAACGAAGTGAAGAAGCCGAAGGAGGAAGCAAAGAAACAGGCAGAGGAGCATAGACATGCATAGACATGCATAGACCATTCAGACACTCGGATGCTGACCATATCTCACTATATACGACTACTCAGCAGTGAATATTTTCCTCAATTTGAGCCACTGGCCTTGTTTGCTTGGAGGAGATGATCATGCAGAACGCTGCCCTCCTCTATGGCGAGGCTGGGAACATGGAGGCGCAGCTGCTCCTCGAGCCCACATGTCCAAGTTGTTTCAACATGTTTCAACAATCTCTTGGCATTTTCCCACTGTGGAGAACTGAATTCACAATGGAATGCGAGATGAACACCTCAATGTTTCTTCTCTCAAGGACTGGAAGAAGAAGTACCTCACAGCTTCGAACCAGCTTCAACAAGCCGCTCAGTGAAGAGTTTAAAGAAGTTGATTCCAATCAGCATGGCAAGGGTGCAAGGGCGCTAGATTCCCTGGAGTATGTTGCATTGACAATGTGCCAATAGATCGTGGTTGTTGCCTTTCAATCGGCAAACAGCACTGTACACGCTTTTATCGGTGAAGATTTGTTACTACAGCTTACAGTCTTACAGTGGTTTCAGAGTAGATGGCACAAACCCAAAGATGTCTTTTAGATGGGGATCCGGGATCCATATAAACCATTTTTTTGGGATTGTGCAATCTATTCATCTATTCTGAAACCACTATATTTGAGCTGTTCTTTTTGGTGAGAATGCTGTGCACCGATCTGCTGGACTGAAATCTGCAACGATCAGCCGTGGGGGGACGCACAAGATGTGCTTGGGAGACCGCAAGACCAGAGATTTGCTTGCCCAGCTTCAACAAGGAGTCTTTGCAAACTACCTGAATGCAACAAACAACTCCAATACACTCCAATGATGGGGTGTCCATTGCGCAGTGGGCGCATAGACCTTGTTACTAGTACTGGTAGCTTCTAGCTACTAGTAACTAGTAGCGATGCCCTTGATACTAGTCGCGATGCCATATATGGCTTGATGTTGCGCAAGCTCATGTACTTTCTTTGCGGCTTAACATGAGGACTCATGAGGACACTCATGGGTTGCCTTCAAGATTAGGAATGAGGACACTCCTTGGCCTACAGTTCTGCGTACTCAACCCTTTTGCGGGGAAACTCATCTTGGATGCGCGGATTGATTGTTTTTCTTTGCGCGCATAGACAGTTGAGTTAGTGCGTTATGTAAGCCTTTGAGCCGCTTAAACTGAACTGCATCTCTACTTCTAAGGTTCGGCACGAGCTGCAAGAGCTTCGGGTACTGGTTCAGAAGCAGAAGAAGGTGCCCATTGGCGCGCAGGGATGTGAATCAATGGGGTGAGTAACGGTCTCAACCGTGAGGAGGTGCTTCCTCCTGCGCAGTGGGTCCCCCGTACTACCTCGGTCCACAGTGGGACGTCACGAACCTCGGAAAGGACAGGAGAAAAACAGCAGAGATTCTGGCCTCGTGTGGCCAAGATTGAATGACAATATTGTTTGGAATACAGAACCAATCGAGATTCTTTGTTGTCAAATTTTGGCACTTTTCACTTTTGACTTTGCCAATCTCTGTTTCATGTATGTGTTTTTCTCTTCTGAAATCCTTTGACTCGGCGGACCCAGCGAGCCCCAGTGGGACCCAGCGGGACGCATTCGGCGAATGCAGCGACCCAGTAGCCCCAGGTGCTTCTGAAAGAACTTGGTGGGGAGGATTGCATTCAGCAGGCGATGTGTGCGTACTACAACTACAACGCTGAAGTCGTTGTCATTGTGGCCTGTTGCCATAGGAACATGACAGTTAGTGTAGTGCTGATGGCACAACCTGCCCAGGATGCAGGTGAGTGTGAGGATGTAGTGCTGAACGTGCGCAAGTGAGTGCGCCGCCCCTCTGGACCCCAGTTATTCACTGTTATTCATCAGTCTGCACAGCCACTGTTTGTTGTGTCCCCAACCTTGCCGCTGAAGTTGTTTTGGAGCTTTGTATTTTCTATTCTATTGGAACACGAACCTCCCTATCTTGCTTGTTGTTCGTGCAGCTCAGGAAGCGTATTATAGTTTGTGAAATAGCACGTTTGACCTTCGGACACGTGTCACCGTTCTTTACAGGCCTTGAGCTTTCTGGCTCTACGGAAGGAAACAGTGTGCGAGTTTCTTGCACCCCGGTCTTTCTAGGGTGTTTAGCGCTCCGCTGTTTACAGTGGCAGCGGAGCCTTAGGGTTCCGGGCCATTCCTGCGCGGCTTCGCTTTGCTTCGCTTTGCTTCGCTTTGCTTCGCTTTGGTGGCGCTTCTTTGGACTACGCCAGTCCTACGACTTCGACTTGCTGGTCTTTGGCCTTGGCTTGAGGTCACGGACCGTGGACGACGACTTCTCGGTGGACTTCTTTGCCCTTGTGGACGACTTCGCCCTGACGGTGGACTACGACCGAACTTTTTCACGGAGGTCTCTCTGACGGACTTCCTTGGTGGCGTAAAGCCTCTCCCTCGGCCAAGGGATTGAAGGTTGCCTGGTGGTGGACTACATCCTCGTGGAGTTCATGACGGACGAGAAGAAAGATGACCGGGGCTTTGACAGCTACATACCGGTCTGGGACGGCAGAAGCGAGACCCTGAGAGAGTTCAAGAAGGCCGTCCAATGGTGGTTGCACTCGATCGACCTGGAGAAGACCACCTCCTACAACTTGGCCGCACGCTTTGCTATGCGGCAGAAGGGCAGCGCAAAGTTGAGAGCTTTGGAGTTTGATCCAAAAGAGCTCGAGTACATCCCCGCCGAGAAGGTGAAGGATGATGAGACTGATGAGATGGTTGAGTTGACACCTGCGGTCTACGAATCAACTTCGTCCGGAATGACAACTTCAAGGACAGCTGGAACACTCAGAGTCATGTTCACAGTCAAGTGGCAGTTCAAGGAGAGACCTGGCTTGAGGTCAAGCAAGAGTGGATTGAACATGCGTATCCACCATGGTCATGGGAGCAGTTCTGCTTTCCGATAAGGACTGCAGTCATGCTTGGACAACAAGGCTCACATGATTGTCAGAATGGTGACAAGTTCTTCGTTGGCTTCGACACCATGAACCAGAAGGGCATGCTTCCTGTGGATAGCACAGTGCCGATCTCTTCCTGGATTCGCACCGCTGAGGATGGTTGGATGATGCTGGAAGAAAAGGTACTTCATCGAGACCGAGCTGTTCATCGAGTGCCTCATGGAAGCTTGATCAAGTCGGTGGAGGTCTACGTGCAGCTTCATCACAACACTCTTCGAGAAGATCCTCACCGGTACCCCATGGTTGGAGAGCTCTACACGGAGACTGAACCGGTGTCGGCCTGTGCGATTCGAAAGGGTCATGCGATCATGCAGTCTATCACCCTGAAGACTGGCTACGACTTGCTGAAGGTCAGTGATCGCAGAAGGGCAAACATGGACATCAGGAACAACAGACCTTTCTGCCTGATGATCGCCTTTCCTTGCAGTGTCTGGTCCAACCTCATCAATATGACGACAAGAGGTGACCCAGTGAAGATAGCCCGACTTGCCAAGAGAAGGAAGTACGAGAAGATCTTGGTGGAGTATGCTGCGATGAAGGCTGTGGAACAGGTCCTCTCCGGGAACCACTTCATCCTGGAGAACCCGGCGACTTCAGCGGCCTGGCGATTGGTTGGCAAGCTTCGCAAGCTGGTTGAGAATGCGAAGGACCTGGACCTCTACCACGTCCGAGTCGACCAATGTGGTTTCGGGTTGCGAGGAGCTGGAGGAGGACTTCACTACAAGCCGACCACCTTCCTCACGTCTTCGAAGGAGGTTGCAGCGGCTTTGGATGGGTTCAGGTGCGACCGACGACATCACCATGAAGCAGTGATTGGTGGCAACAAGGTGACACGCCTTGCAGGTCACTATCCACCCCTTCTCGCTGAGACTCTGCTTGAAGGCATCGAGCGAGAATGGTCAATGCTTGAGATCAATGTCATTGAGGAGTTGGACGACGAGAACACAGGCGGTGGAGATGATGGTGGTGAAGATGATGGAGGACCCCCCGGACCTTCAGATGAACCGGATGGCCATGATGGAGACGACCATGATGGCAATGGGGACCACTTCATGCTGGACAACCCGGCCGAGCAGGAAGATGAAGATGATGATGTGGTGGTGTCTGGTGATGACAAGCCCACAGCAGGTGATCGCAAGATGGCAAAGCATCTTCATGAGGTGACAGGCCATCGACCCCCACTTCGCCTGGCTCGAGCTTTGCTGATCACAGGAGCAGATCCGACGTTGATCAAAGCTGCAAAAGAGCATAAGTGCGAGATCTGCCATGAGACCAAGCGGCCTGGAACCAGAAGGCCAGCCAGCTTACCTCGTGTCAGGAACTTCAACGACCACCTCTATGCCGACCTGATCTCCGTCCATGACAGCCATGGTGAGACTTACTGGATTGCTCACGCCGTTGATGCCGCTTCCAGGTACCAAGTTGCCAAGGTGCTGGAAGAGAAGAGCGGGCTGGAAGTCATCAAGTTCTTCCAGGAGTGCTGGTTCAACACTCTCGGCATCCCCGCACAGATCACCACTGATCTTGGCAGAGAGTTTACGGCGGCAGTGGTTCAGCGCACCATGGACATGCACGACGTGGTTTTGCACCATGTGCCGGTGGGCGCGCCATGGCAAAACGGCATAGCAGAGAGAGCCGGAGGCTCACTGAAGGCAGTTCTCCGGGCCACAATCCACGAGGCGGTGGCAGCTGGCATGGAGGACATGCGGACCGCTCTGGCTTCAGCTCTGGAGGCCGTCAACAATGACGTGGATGGCACAGGGTTCTCTCCGAGTCAGATGGTTCTTGGACGACAACCTCGACTTGTTGGAGAAGCTGGTCCTTCCGACCTTCGAACCCGACTTGCTGCTCACAGCATGGCCTTGGAGACCCCCTCGTTCTCACGTTTGGTGGCGATGAGAGAAGTGGCTAAGCTGGCCATGGTACGACTTCACTACAGCCGAGCTTTGATGAGCGCTTCAGTTGCACGTGCTCGCAACCAGGTGGATTGGAACCAGTTTTCTGTTGGAGACGTGGTCTACTTCTACCGCGAGCAGAAGCCCACAAGCAAGAAGATGAAGATCGTGCAGAGAAGACGGCTGGAGTTGAAGAAGTGGCACGGTCCTGGAGTTCTTTTGTCTTTGGAAGGCAAAGAGATGCCCAATGCAGGGTATGTTGCCTACTGTGGCAATGTGACCAAGGTTGCCATGGAACACCTTCGTCATGCAAGTGCTTTGGAAAGACTCGTTGCCACAGATTGGGATGCAATAGTTGAGGATGTCATCAACGCTGTGGATGACAAACGCCCTGACGACCAACAAGAAGGACTTGGAATTGGTGAGGAGAGCTATGAGCCAACAGAGCCGCCGGAGGAGCCTCCAGAAGTTCAGCCTGAGCTTCTTGGACAGACACCAGCGCCTGCGGTGGTTTATCCTTTCCCTTACCCAGCGATGATGCCTGCTTTGGTGCAAAGTGCCCCTTGTTCGAGCTTTTCATCGCTTCCTTCGAGATTGGCATCAAGGAGACAGTCAACAGAACAGGCTGGTGGACCTTTGCCTACGGTTGGTGAGGACGCTTCACCAGAGCCTGATGGTCAACGACCTGGACTTCTTGGAGGAGATCCGACTTCCGACCAAGGAGCAGCTGGTGATGACCTACAACCTCTTCTACCTCAACAGGCAACAGATGATGGACTTCCTCACGCACAAGTTCTTCCAGTCGCGGATGGTGGTGCAGCTGCAGCTGAACTACAACCTGGAGTCCCTGTAGGAGAGACGCCTGCAGAATATGGACGGCGGCTGGAGCAAGCACAAGGTGCTGTGAGAAGAGCACTGTCCGAGCCAACGGACGACAGACAGGCCGTTCGGAGGAGGATCATGGAGCCGCTTCGACTTGGTGGCAAAGCGATCGATGTCCTCTCAGACATCCACTTCTTGAGGCAGTCAACAAAGCCCAGGAGGACATAGAGAACGGACATCATGGAGAAGATGATCACGGCAGTTGGGATGGAAGATGGTCTCGCCCGACCGCACGACAGGTTGAGATCGTCAAGAAGCTTCAGATGACATGGCCTAGTGGTTCTAACAGTGACACTAAGGAGGCTTTGACTACTGCTGCTCACGGACGTGAACTCAGATGGTCAGAGATGGACGAGGACACAAGACAGGCATTCCGCGTTGCAGCGGCTGACCAGTGGAACAAGTGGCTGGAGAATGAGGCTGTGACTGTCTTGAGCCCTGAGGAGCCCAGAGCAGTGGAACAGGAGCTGGAGATGAAAGGCGAGCTTGAGCGGATCATGAACCCCCGCTTCATCTTGGTGGACAAGAACTCCAAGCTTCGCTCTCCAGAGTGTCCGCTTCCTTTGAAGGCCAATGCACGAATCATCGTGCCAGGATTTCGTGATCTTGCCAACCTGAATGGTGAACTTCGAACTGACTCACCGACAGCTTCAAGGATAGCACAGCATGTGGTGTGTTGTGTTTGTGCCTCGAACCCTGACTGGTGTTTGTTGAGCGCTGATGTCAGAGCAGCTTTCCTCAAAGGAGATCCCTACGTGCAGAGACAGCTGTACATCCGTGGGACCAACCCCAAGACAGGTCCGACGAGTGGGATTCCGACTGGTTGCGTTGCCAAAGTTCTCAAAGGCATTTTTGGCCTAGCTGATGCCCCAAGAGAGTGGTACTTGCGGCTGGCTCGAGAGCTTGGTGAGGATGGCTGGGTTCGCTCGAGCTTGGACTTGGCATTGTGGCTGAGGTTTGACACAACAGGTGCTTTGACAGGCATCTTGGCAGCTCATGTAGTGGCGACAAGGAGGCAGAAGCTTCGCTGAGCCGGTTGGGAGAAAGGATCGGTTTTGGATCCATGGACGCTCCGCCATTCAGCTGGTGTGGCAAAACCTTCACTCGTGAACCTGACGGAAGAGTCACTTTGACCATGGTAAGGTACCACGAGAACCTCACTGGAATGCAGATGCCTCGACAAAGGCGCAAAGATGTGGCAAGCTTGCTGAATGCCGCAGAAGTGAGGAAGCTCAAAGGTGTTTTGGGTGCCTTGCAGTGGCTTGTTGCACAGTTGAGATTCGACCTCTCTTTCTCTGTAAGCAGTCTTCAGTCAGAGCGACCGACTGTTGGCACAGTGCTTCGAGTGAACAAGGTGGTCGAGGAGGCAAAGAGGACCAAGGACTTCACCTTGCAGTTCAAGCCGGTCAGCTACACCCATGGTGGCATCATGGTTGTGACCGATGCTGCGCTCGGCAATGTGACCGCCAATGGTTGCACAGACGCCCTGCCGACCGAGAAGGTGCACTCGCAGTCATGCTACGCAGTGTTGCTGGCAGACGAGCAGATGATGTTGGGAAAGCCTGGCAGCTTCAACTTGCTCGACTTCAGGAGTCACCGACTTCAGAGAGTGTGTCGCAGTTCCTACGCGGCAGAAACGCTTGGCGCTGAAGAAGGTCTAGACGCAGGAGAACTGTGTCGCGGCTTCATAGCAGAGCTGCGCAAAATCGACATCGCATGTCGAACAGGACATTTCAATGTCTGCGCTGTGAGCCTCATCGGAGTCACCGATGCGAGAGATACCTATGATCGTCTTACACAAGACACTGGGTTTGGCTCGCAGAAAAGCCTTGCTTTCAGCCTTGCAGCTCTTCGTCAACAACTTCGACGGCCATGTACTGGCTACAGGTGGACAAGCACCACAAACCTCTTTGTGGATGCTGGCGCGAAGCTGATGGACAACTCAGCGCTGCGAGAGACTTTGCAGAAGGGAGAGTGGTCAATCGAGTACAACGAGAGTTTCACCAAACAGACCAAGAAGGCTGTGAAGACAGCGGTGGCTGTGGTTGAGATGCCCGGACGGGCAGTTCAGGACAGAGACAAGTCCTTGATGGAGCACGTCCTCATGGTGGCAGAGCAGAATGGGTGGCACTACAGGGATGGAACTCCTATCCACGTGGCCCATGGAGCGATGAGTTACCGAAGCCCAGCTCCTCGGTTTGATGTGAACAAGCATCCGTACCGGACTTCGGTTGCCTGCTACAAGAGGACTGACGGCAAGCACGAATGGAGGATCCTTGAGGAGAAAGCCGACCTGGTGAAGATGGCAAACCTCCAGGCGAAGATTGGTGATCGATGCCATAGGCTGGTATCCTTCTTTACGTGCTAGAGTCCAAAGGTCACAAGAAATTAGAAGGCGTGTGAAATAGCACGTTTGACCTTTGGACACGTGTCACCGTTCTTTACAGGCCTTGAGCTTTCTGGCTCTACGGAAGGAAACAGTGTGCGAGTTTCTTGCACCCCGGTCTTTCTAGGGTGTTTAGCGCTCCGCTGTTTACATAGTTTATGCCATCCAACCTTTAGCAACGAATCGTCAGTGCATCTTTAATCTTGCGGAGAACTCATTTGCAACCGTGAAACTATCGATGGAGCCCGGTTGGCTGCTGTTTGCACTTGTGACCATCCATCTTCAGTGGCAATTGCTTAGTGATTCCCCAATGTTGATTCCAGTTGCTGCGGCTGGATGAATTCTCAGACAGACTTTGGACTGCTATGATGTCACTGAGTCTGCTGCATATTTACAAGTGTGATTTTTGCAATCGCAAACTTTCTCCACGACTCCACCACTAAGACTAACGTGTAATTCATTACTTTTCCAATCACAACATCGAACGAGTGCCTGTCGTTGTGGAGAGGCAATGGGAGTAGCAGATGACCCGATGGCTTTGCAGTGGAAGGGACGAGCAGCACAAATCGCGGCTCGCACGAAGAGGGCAAACTGATGTTTGAAAGGAATGATTCAATCAATGAACCCAAGTAAATGGAAATGACCTCAAAGCATTTCAGTCAAACAAGCAAATGTAAGGTGTTTTATGGCGGGCTTACCCTCGATGGCCCAAACATCTAAAGATTGTTGTCGTGAACCAGTCAAGAATCCAATGCCTGCCTAAACCTTGAGGCCCCTAGAACTTAGAACTAGTATTAAACAGATTGGCTGAATATGGAACGGTCCTGTTCAACAGATGACGGGGTTGAGGAGAGATCAAGAGGCTTGCTATGAAGATTAGGAGCATGGAAGCTGAGTCACCGCATCTAAACACATGTTTGTGTTGCAGAGAAGGTCACATGTCCGCATTGTTCTCAGTGGTCCCCGCATCAAGGCTCAGCTGCAGCGGCAGGTCAAGGAGCTCAAGGCCATTTGGTCGCCAAGGAACAAACACGGAAGAATAGGAATGGCCTCCAACTCCAACCTAATAGCTATGCATAGCTGCGCAACAACCATCTACTCATCAACCAAGATCCAGGGAAACCTTTTGGAGTATGTGTTGGCCTGCTCACAGCTGGCTCTACTTTTGCATGCCGGCCATAGTGCATACGTATGCACAGGCTATAAGCTCTAAAAGCAAGGTCCAGTGGCATTGTCCCGTTAGAAGATAGCTATATCAGTTGATGTCATAATGTATCCTGACCAGCCTTCCCACCAAGCTCTCTACTGTCACCGTCAGTTGTACGGAATTCCGACTTTCCAGGCAGGCGGCACAAGCACTGCTGGTCAGGCGGGATGGACTTGATACCTCGGTACACGGTTCATGCAAGGCTCTTGGTTGAGAATGCGAACCATGTGGAGCAATACAGCAATACCTCATGCGACTAGCCTTGTGATAGCTTTGTAATGCTTTGTACATGGGAGATGGATCCAGTCTGTGAGGAAGCTGCAAGCACCATCCCCGCAGCCGCTGCTCCAGTTAAGAGCAAGGCGGCCCACGGTCTGTCGCAGCAGTTTGTTGGGTCGATTTAGAGCGAAGGAACAATGAAGAACAGCAGACTCAGCAGACAGCAGACAGCTTTTTGTTACTAGCAGCTTCTTGCTACTAATAGCGATGTGCTTGTTGCTAGTAGCGATGCACTTGCTACTAGTAGTGATGCACATGCCACTTCTAATTTCACTTGTTGCCACGCTTCTTGGACTGCCTCTATCGACATCAATGGGACACGAGCTGCTGTGGAGTAGCAAGAACGAGAAACAGGTTTCCAATTGAATATTGTTGCGATATGTTTTCTACTTCTGAACTTTGGAGGGAGTTGATGGTTCTGGTGATTGCCCTGATCTCGCAGCTTTAGGAACCAAGAATGTAGCATCTTAGAGTCATACAGGCTTACCCTTTTCTCATTACAAAGCACAAATGCAGAGCTATTGGTTGGAGGCGGTTGGCCAAGCTGCTGACAAGCGCAGGGAAGAGTTCGAACGTCTGCAGGACATGGGGAAGTTTGCAGGGTCGCCAATGCAAGGATACTGTGAAACAAGATGAAACAAGTCATTTGACACAGAAACACCTTTTTTGTGGTTCGGATGTGTTCCTGAGATTGCTTAGGAAAGTGCTATGTGCAGTTCGGCCGAACGGCCAGGAAGAGGTGGAGCGGCTCCGCACAGAGCAGACTGAGGCGCCCAGCATGACACATTGCAAGACTGCTTCGATTGGATCTGGAAGCAACTGGCACCTAGAATATGGCACAGGTGGGCTCGCTGTAGAACTTGTTCCGAAAGAGCTCAAAGGAAAATGACCATGGACTTCACTGGGAAGAAAGAAGAAAAGAGGTTAAGGGCCTCTTTGGTAAGGCCCTTACTCTTTTTGTTCTTCCTTTTTCTTATTTATATAACCTTTTTATATGCATCGATTTCCACCACTCAGAGTCTCAGAGCATCCAAGAGCGTCAGTTCTGACTCGTTCGGGCTGCCCCGCTCAGTGCAAGCAGAAGCGCGAAGCATTGAGGCCGGGTGGTGGAAAGTATCTCCACCATGGTGGTGGTATCTTTGTAGTTCAAGCACCTCCTAGTCGCGCCATAGTGCAATGGGCACAAGTACTGGGTGTAACCGCTCATGACGCCACTTAGTGATGACCGGATTATATGGAGACTTGATCCTTAAAAACTCCACAAACGCCTGGCAGCGGTTCATCAGTTGCTGCCATTTCCAATCTATGATGACCTCCACAAGCACCCATGAGGTCCCGCTCGTGCCTGTTGGAGACGCAATTGAGAGACATGAAGGCACGAGATTGCTGACTGTGGATCACAATATATCAGCTGCATGTCTGATACCATTGAGTACCTGCGGGAAAACATGTCGAATGGAATTTTCCCTTGATAGCTGTGACAGCTGTGTTTGACTTCTTATCTCCTGTTGGTACGGACCGCCGTTATCAATAGAAGAGGTAGGTCAGTATTCCCTGCCCTAGGCCAATGTGCAATTCCTTCTGCGTAAGAGTGATGACGATGATGCTTTGGTGGCCCTGCTTCGGAAACAGCTGGGGCGAGAGGCGTGGTGCCCGAAACCAGCGTGCAGAGTAGCCCAAGAACTTTTCGTCTACTATGAGACACTGTGACCGAAGTATTGTCTGACATGTGTATGTTATATTGATGAATAGTGATGACATGTATATTTATAATATATATATACACATACGTATGCACTTGTGAATCTTATCAACTCGAAGACCAGGGCTAATCAACCTGCAGACTAGAATTCCTAGATCGCTCGATTCCCCCTTGCAGGTTGCTAGTTGGATGCGATGAAGGGTGTTTTCCTGGAGAACTGTCATCCAACCACTCTGTTGGGCACACTAAAGCGATCTAAAGTGACAAACCACGCATTCTTTCAATAAGCCGAAACCACCCGAAGGCATTCAAGGAGGTTTGTCATTCTTCAGAGTTTGCTACATGTTAGCGAGACAGCCAGTGCAAACGTCCTTTATATACTTAATGAGAAAACTCAGCGTAACAAGATTCGAACACAGGAAGCTGGCGTCAATGGAGATGGAGGACAGGCGCCCTTGGAGGCTGATAGAACTTACCAACTGTGCAATGAATACATATGTATATATATATATATGTAGATAAGCGTTAATTACAATATGACATATTGCACAATTTGTATATATATAATATATAACATAGAAATATTTGGGCAGGTGCTGCTGCTATATTGTGACTTTGTTAGCAGGATGGCCACACCATTCCAAAACATACCTTGGCTTTGGATGCCCAGCAAAGTGCTATGGGGGTATGTCGGTCTTTTGGACAAGATGATGCTTTCTGTTGGTGACTGAGTCTGAGAGTCTGAGTAGCACAAGAAAGGGAACTGCTGATTCCAGCCACACCTTGACTATTCCGAGGAGATGAGCTGAATTACCTGCGGCTGCAAAATGGCGAGTTGCAGGCAGTTTCTACCCACTGAAAAGTGTAGTCCATCCCTTCTTGTAGGCTAGCTAGCTTGTTGCGGTCACGAACTGCAACTGCCTTGGGGGCCTGCCGAAACAGAGGGGTGGACATGCTGTTGAGGCCCAGTTGGAGAGACAAGCACAGATTGTGCTGCAGCTGAGGCAAGGGAACCTCAGGGACACGTGTGGAATCACAATTCGTTTCATAGACAATGCCGGTGTGATTCTTGCCAGAAACATGCCCATGCCGAATGTTCGACCCAAGGCAAAAGGCTTTGGCGGCCAGCTGCGAAAATGGCTCGGTACCTTTGGGGCCGAAGACTCTGGGACAGTTAGGTTGGAGGCCATTGCTATTAGGTTCCTGTTGCTATTGGGTTGGAGGCCATCGCTCTTATTTATCCCTTGAGCTTCGCCTAAGGAGTGTGGAAGCCTCCGTGACCGAGCGCCAGTTGCTGGATCGCGTGCGCTTTCTGGAGGCGAAGGGAGAATAGACGACGTGGAACAAATTTGAGTGACAGTTGAAAGTTGGAGGGCATCGTAAAACATTGCAGAAAACACTGTGTCGTTTTCCGGCTACAAATAGGCGGACTTTACCAGCTTAGTTAGGCACGAATGTGGAAACGTCAATCTTTGCTGGCCCAATTCTTGGCAATTCGTGGGAGTTCAAAGTGCAGGGTCTCCACTGGCATGTCCAACACACAGTCTCGACTGAGTCTCCCAGAGCCGATCCACGCCGTTCCCGTCGTCCACCTCGCAGGCGGAGAATGCGAAACAAGCTGAGCAGGCTCGACGACGAGGGTCATGCATGAGAGATCCCGAGAGCATGCACGACGACGGCTCATTGGTGTGATGTTCAGTTGCCTCAGTATGGATCCTCTGGGTGGTCAGAACGATTGGTCACCCGGAGTAACAATGAAAACACTCAGGTGCAGCTGTTGAAAGGCCGTGGCGTGTGGCGCCTCAGCTTTGTGACTGACCGGTTTGCCAGGACAGAGGCCTTCGGACAACACTTGTTCTCAGGAAATGAGAACCCAATATGATTTGAGGGGCCTTGAGATATGCCGTATCATGATGCATCACGCTTTTGTTTTTTGATGTTTTTTGTTACCCTTGTTGTATCGACAAGCCCCAGCAGATCCAGCGAACGCTTAAGACTTTTTGGCCAAGGCCGGCTACCAAGACTTTTCCACAAGTCTGAAGGAGCAGCTCAGGCAGGTAGATTTGGCACATACAAGGAGGATCCATTTACAATAAGATATTCCGTCTTCCGACTTCGCCTTCCAATAGACTTTAACAAGTTGACGTGAGTTGCTGTGGACAAAATTGGACAAATAATTGCAGACGTTCCTTTCGTGAATGCCTTCGTTTCGCTTGACGTTCAGCCTGCAGAGGCACGAGCCCGGCGACACGCCCAGCGAAAGAGGGTCACGCCACATGAGACAGGCAGGGTGGGCTGGGTTGAGCCAAGCAATGTGTGCCTAGTAACAAGATGCATTGCTACTAGGAGCAAGAAGCTACTAGTAGCTCCTGGCATTACTACTGGTAACAAGAAGCTACTAGTATCAAGAAACTACTAGACAACCTGCCACTAGCGAACGGATGCAGGATAGCTCTCACTTCTTCAAGGACTAAGGAACCTTTTTGTGCCGCCCTAAAGGTGGCGGGGGAGGGAGCTTCCTTGAAGAAGCTCGCACTATTCATGTGGTTCCTAGACTTCAACAGAATAGCTGTTGTTGTTGCTGCTGCTACTAGCTACTGCTTCAACGAAGGAACCACTGATGAACCGAAGGTGCCCCCCCAAAAGTGCATGCACAATATGAAGGCACTGGCACAAAGCTCCACCCTTTTGGGATCCTGGAGCACTTTAGACGTTCGCTTGTCACTCACGCTCCAGAGTGGTCGGTGCGGTGCAGGGCAGCAGACCCTACTCTGAGTCTGGATCCGAGGCTGCACTGACCAGAATGGGTGTGGGGTGAGTGATCCAGGGAGATTTCTGGCGGAACCTACTACGTGCGGAAGCGAAAATCGTGATTCGCTTTCAGCTTCTTGGGGGACCAGCGAATGTCAGAGTCCGAGTTCGAGTCCATCGAATCCGTCTTTTGAGCCGATCGAGGTTTTGGTCAAAAAGGTGGATCCCAATGACCCGGTGGCGTTCCCCGCCTGGTCTAGACATGCAGTTCTCTCCAGGCCTAGTTCTTCATCTTCAAGGCAGCATGTCTTTAGCAGTCCTGTGACTTGTCAACAAGATCAATGATTCTACCAAGCATTTTTGTTGGCTATATAATCGATATCCGATATCTGGTCAATTCTTGGTCAACACACGCTTGAGTAGTTCAGAGTGAAGGACTTTTCGTGCATGTCATCGGGTTGGTTTTGGTGCGAGAGAGAGAGAGAGAGAGTTTTGGGGGCCGAAGCACTAGCTACAGAAGGATACTGAATAGACAAGAGCCCAAAGAAGTCATCTGAACATCCTAAAACTGTATGGCCCAGGCCGTGCCAGGTTCCGTTTCACTTCAATTCAGACGAGCAAATAGTTTCTTGCATCAACATTGCAAGAGCCAGCAGCTTGTGCATGATCAATAGCCAAAAGAAAAGATTGCACGTGATTCTTCTCGGATTCTTCTTTTCGCTTGGATTTCGACCGCTTTGGGTCTGGGTGTATGGAGGTGTATATGGTGTGGCGAAGCGACCTTGTAGTGTCATCGAATGTATTGGTAATTGCACTTTGTCACCAGTATACAGTATGCTCCATAACTGCCAGAGGGTACGTGAGAGAGTTCCTTTATTTTACCACATTCAGGCAAGGCGCACATGGAACAGGGGCTCACTGATGTCATCGTGATGCACTAGTCAGAATGCCAAGCAGCTCAGCGAACGTGTGATAATTCATGAGAATGTGCATGGATAGGTCATGCACGTTGGATCATCATCTTGGCAGTTCTTGGCGTTCCAGGCAAATCACGTTGGATCATCATCTTTCATCCTCCTTTGTCTGAGTCTTTGGTTCCATTGGAGTTGCCGTCGGGCAAAGTGCGTGCAGGCGCCCTGCCTGTTTTGCATGTCAGATGTCCGAGGTTCATCACGCTAAAATACTTACTCTCTCCAGAACTTACGAGGAAGTAGTTTTCCTATCATATTCCTCGTTTGGCATTTTACTGGAGGGTCTGCATGTCATATTTTTGTGTTGGGAATGACTTCTTCCTCGTAAGTTTGACATGCTAAACTTGCTAGACTTGCTCGACTTCCTCGTTTGTCAGTGCAAAAACTAGAATGTCCAGAAGCATCTAGTAAACAAAGAAGCCTACCATTTTTTTGTGATAGTTTGGTAAACTTCCTCGTTAAACAGGATCAAGAGAGACAGAGAGAGAGAGAGAGGGGTTCTTTAAATTCCTCGTTAGACTTGCACTTGAGGGCTTCGAGAGCTTCTTCGTTTGTTCTAATCAAAGCAGGTATCTGTGAATTCACGCCCAGCCATTTGGTTTACCAGGAAGTGTTTTAAAGCAAGTCCCAATCAACCTAACCAGGAAGTCACTTTGCAGCCTAACCAAGAAGTTGTGATTTTGCTTGTATTCTTCCTTGTTAGCTCCCAACCTATGAAAATGCAAAGCAACCCTGGCTTACCTGGAAGTGTATCTCCCTGGTCATTTTCCAGCAATCCCCGGGGATGCAGGGGCCCTCGGCTTCCTCGGTAGTGAGCATTGCATTTTCTGGCCTTCCTCGTTTGCTGATTGGGCTTACCTGTTTGTGGTCTATTCCCAGGGGGATTTACATGGTCACCAACTTCCTCGTAAACAGCGTCCTCGCCGAGATTTGCTTCCTCGTAAGTTCTGAGGAGTGTACTTTGACTACTGTACTTTGACCTGAGGATCAGTCAATGTTTCATTTGGATGCCATGGGCTTCAGATAAATCAGTGACCTGAGGATCAATCAACAGTTGTCGTTTCTATTACTGTTCTGAACCAAGGGAAAAGGGATAAAAAGGGAGAAATAAGATGAACAAAGATGACATATTCATAACATGTCCTTAGAGTATGCACACGACAAGACGCCGGTTATGTTGGTTGCATTCACGTTTGAAGTGGACGCGTCACGGCTTATGAGCCGTGGTCGGCACTGCACGGCTTTGATGATGCAACTACTGACTTGACACCAACATCTGGCAACCAATGTTGGTTTGGTTGTTTTGAGCCAGTCACCCATCAATGACGCTGTATATATATATATAGACTATCTCAGTTTTCTCGGCGCAGGCCAATGGCCCGGCGTTTTTGCAGCCCATGGATGCTGCCGGTGGCGCTAGTGCAGGTGCCTCTCAGGAGACAATAGCAGGGTATCAACAAAATGTTCAACAATCGTTTCATTGACTATTTAATAATTTCGTACTGCTCATGTTTACTTTCAGGATTGGCTTTGTGTAGATCACACACACTGACTTTGGGCTCAACACAATTTCAGATGGCCATCTACCAACTAGGGATTATAGTAACTGCACAGTTTGTTGACAGGAAGCCGTCGTCCTAATTTTGGCATGCCTATCCCCGTCGTCCTATGGTCAGGAGTAGATGATGACAAAAGGAGTTCACAGTGTCACAGGGCATTCTTTTTTCTTCCGGACACCAACTCAATTGGTGGGCCGCACAGACTGGGAGGTCACCGAATCGATGGCCATGCGGTCTGGGTTGCGCAGCACCAGCCACAGGCCTTCTTCATGATCACTTTGAGTGGCATTTGGCTTTTCGGCTTCGGTCTGTGTGCCCGGCGCATTGCTTCGGTCTGGAGCATTGTTGCTCCAGTGTTGCTCCAGTGTTGCTCTCAGTGGCTGAAATCAGCCAGGTTTTGGACCTTTATGGTAGTTGAACTGCCCAAGGACTGGGCTGGGACTTCAGGAAACAACATATAGCCTTGAGAATGCCTGTCGTACACCCGTTGGATAGAGCCTGGGCTGACATTGAAGGGATAGTTCACTGAGCACTAAAAGCCGACAGAGACCTTTTCAAAATGCAGGTAGCGTCAGACTTGTGGTTCTTGTGTTTTTTTAGTTTATTAGGGCATATTATGTACAATATAATTATATTGATTGCCAATCCCAGCTGGCATCTTACCTTGTGACAACATGTGACAACTGGTAAATCATTGCAAAGTGAGCTGATTGATACAGCAGCATTTGAGGGGTACGGATCTGCCGTCAATACAGGTGATGTGTGTCTCCGCCTTCACTCTTCAGAACTGACCAAAAACCCGAAGGTATGAAGGGCCCAAAACATGAAGGGTGAATGGAATTCCAAGTGTTTTTGTTTGACGTGTTTGTTCCATGTCTAGCTTCTTGATCTGAAAGGAATTCCACATGTTCTTGTGACATGATGTTGCGGCAGTCATCTCCTGTGGGGCCCAAACTCGGGTACAATTGAGGCGACACCCCCAGCGATGCTTCAGCGATACCCTGACCCTGACCATGCCAGTCCACCACTTGAACATGGGTGGGTTTGCACCCAAGAAAGATGTTGCAGTAACAGCTTGGTGAATGCTCTTAGCTGCTTGCAGAGCTCTTCTAATGGCAGCTGAACCGTGCTGTTGCCTTCGACCCGAGGTTTGTTTGTTCATCTCCTTTCAATAGCCTTGGAGTGCTCATGCTCATACATACATTGGTTGGTTGAAACCAGCCTTTGCAAGATAGAAACCAAAGAAAGCCTGCCCTCCTTCCAAGCTGAAGTCTCAAGTTGTCCAAAGCTGGGAAAAGCAATGGGGCCCATTTCTTCCACGCACCCACCGTTCAAATTCTCCATGCCCCTGGAAACACGAAGATGGTCCAGGACCTGGGCCCCTACAGCCAGATGAGCTCGTTGTCAATGTTCCTGCATGGCGCTTTCCCTGTGCCCTTGGAGGCCAACATCAGAAGTTTTTCTGTGTTGTTGCTTCTGTTGCCGTTGCTGTTGCTGTGCTGCTTTTGCTGCTGCTGCTGCTGCTGCTGCTGGTGGTGGTGGTGGTGGTGGTGGTGGTAGATTCTTTTGTTGCCTGCTTTGTGATGCAACCCCTCACTGAGTGAGTGTTGTGATCGACGGTCTTTTCTGGCACATCATCTAAGGGAAAACTTTGGGGGCAGCAACTTTCATTTGATAGGGGAAATTAGGGTTGTGGGCTCACTCTTTGTACCAGCTGGCTTGATGCAGAAGACATTAGACGCTTGTAGTTTTCTTTCGGGACTAAGATGCGAGACACAAACGATGTCAAGTACGAGTTCAAGTTCGACCACGTGTTGATCCTGGTACCAGCCTTAGAGAGGATCCAGACTCGGAGAGGATCGAGGCCACAGAAAGAACCTAATATATATTATATATATATATATTATACACACACAAATGGACAAATATTACGTTTTGCCAATGCCTGCGGGCTGAACTGACTCAAGAAAGCCGGCCTGTGGGCTCACGCAGGCAGCCCATCAATGTATTTGGGCGGTGTGGCTGTTCTCGTCTTTTGGGGCAATAGAACTCCAGATGTCAAGATGACGGCACAAAACTCACAGGACCTCGCTGGCGCCAAGCTTCGCATGAACTATGACCCTACCCATTTTGTTGTTTGCTCGCTTCAGGGCTGTGGCAGCTCAGAATGGTTGAAGTAAATTCAATAGTTTATATACGGTAAGTTGAAAATTTGAGAAACGACAAAGGTACTGTTTGGATTCAACATGTGGCCGAGGCTAATGTCATGGTGCTTATGATGATGGGCTGGGCACCGACAAGGCGGGACTGGAAGGGACTGGGCGGGCTAGTTGAGGCGTCATTCTTAAAAGGGCAACATGGTATATACCGAAACAAAAGACAAACTGACATACACAAAGAGAGCTACTTGTTTCCTTTTGTCGACTCAAAAGGCTTGATAGTCTCCGTGAAGGTAGAGGTGAAGTAGAGACCTTCAAACAGACGGTTCCGTTCCGGTGCAAGATGATGTTGCCTGCACAACATGAGCAGAAGCAAGGAAGCACAAGAGCACGCACAAAAGCTCCGTTTTCCGATTTCAAAAAAGCAGATTGTAGCTACATACAATTAATGTCGAATTCTCAGATTCAGCTTCCGTCTAGGTATTGAAGTACATCCAGTAGACATACATACACAAGTCATACATGAGTTAAGCCTTTTGCTCGAAGAGAACATGTCGAGCACCCAACGTGTACTCGTGTACTTGGCTACAACTGGAGAGCTTCATTCAACCAAAGTTCTTCCTTGTGATTCCAGGGTGGCTGATCTCCGAAAGGAGCTGGAGGAAGATCAGAATCACATCAACATTCTCCTGAGTGGTGACCGAGCTTTGACCAACGAGGAGCAATTGCCTTGCGGGACGGAGGTTTCAGTGCAGCTGTTGCGGCAAAGTGTGCTGGGGCGCTGGGTACGGAGAACCGGAGTACAACCGAAGGAGCCGAAGGATAGTGAGGTCCATGACTACAAGGAAGAGATCCTTTTGTTGCGAAAGGATGGACAAGGCCGCTTCTCAATGAAACATACCTGGGTGACGAATGCGGACAGCTATGGCTCTGACCAAAGAATGGTCGGCTGTTCACCTGAGACTATAAAAAAGGATTCTGAAGGTTTGGGAGGATTCTTGGAGAGCAGTGAGGAGGGAGCACCATGGGAATGGCAAGTTCTTGGAGAGCCTGCTGAGCCTTCTATTTGCATCAAGGGCGCTGGTTGGAGGGCTACTGGTATCATTGAGGATGACGACATCGTCGCCCATGGCTCCCATCGAGGGATAGAAAGTTTTGATGTGCCATTGCAGGAACTCCTGAAGACCTGGGACTTTGTTCCAGTGACCTGAGCAGCCTGAGCTCCAACACTTGTTACTTTGCTGACAAAGCTCAGCCGAGTTCCAAACATTTGAATTGCGGAGGACAGAGCGAAACAGGTGTGCTACACAGATGTAAAAACATGTGTAAGGAGAGGGATACCTTGCATTGGAAGTGGATTGTTTACTTACAGCAACTCCTTTTTGTACCACAACTACTAGGAGCAAAGGGCATCGCTACTAGGAGCAAGAAGGAGACACGTCCCGAACGAGTTGTCACGAAAGGTAGCCCTTTAGGGGATACCTTGAGTTTGTCTTGCGAAGCAAGTGTCGGCGAGTCCGGGTCTAATAATTGATTGCTCAATTCAACCCCCCCCCCTTGGAATTGATTTTTCTTTTTCAATAGGCCCCCCCCCCCCCGCCCCCTTGGAATTGATTTTTCTCAATACCGCCCCCCCACTCCCCCCCTCTAAATTCAATTCTCTCCTGGAGAACGTCTTCGTGAGCCTCTCATGATTTCAGGATAGTTGAAACCCTCTTGAACATTCAGAGTGCATATGAATGCATTGCGGTTGAAATTCTAATCACGAAAGGTGTTCTCCGAGGGGATACATACCTAGAGTTTGTTTTGTCAAGCACGTCAATTCTCTCCTGGGGAACGTCTTCGTGAACCTCTTATGGTTTCAGGATAGTTCAAATCCTATGATGCTCCGATTCAATGCTCACCGATGATCTGAGCCATGGGGCAAGTTTGTTTTCCTAAGAATTTTGTTGAACATTTCGAGAGCATATGTTTGAATTTTTAGAGTGCATATGAAATTATATTTACGAAAGGTCGCCTTTGAGGGGATCAATACCTAGAGTTTGTTTTGTGAAGCAAGTGTGGGTGCTTCCGGGTCGGAGTGATTTCTCCCTAGAGCTTTGGAAGTCATTGTTCCATCTAGCCTCCCCTGCATTGTCGTTTGGGGCATCACCATGTCGAACATTGCATTTTTGTTCCTGCCTCTCGTGTTCCCTTCTCTTCCCGCTGTCCTACCTTTCGTGTCTCCCTTCTCTCAAGTGGGTCACGCAAGCAGGAGATAGGGGAAGCAACAGTCGGAACATATTGGGTTGCTGCACAATGAAGAGGCAGAACAGTCTTGTGGCACGTGGTACAGTTTGTTTGGCCCACACATCTATCATATATCTATATTTATAACTATATAAATATATATATATACACATTTGTATATCGACTTAGTTGTATTAATATAGGTGGGAGTTTGCATGGGGCAATTGGAGTGTTGAGTAGATTGGTTGGGCTTTTAATGCACGTTGCCAGAGCAATATGCTCATGGTGACTGACCCGGGCGAACTAACGGCGTCGGTTTTGTCAGAAGGAACATCCGAAGTATTTGTTCAGCTTTACTTTCTTCACCTTAACCTTTCAGGTCAGAAATTGAAGAGGAGGAAGATGAGGACCTGGCAAAGGCTTGAGAGTTGATGTGGGAAACTTGTTTAGACAGCCACGTCAACTGACCCGCATTCGGCCGCCTTCCGACACCAGTCTTTCACCAGAAGTGCCAGGTTATCACAAAGTGTCACAAAGTGACATCGTGTAACATATAGAGATTCAAGGGGCTGCCACGAACGTTTGGGGACTGTGTTGGTTGGCTTTTCAAGAGGCAATGGGGAAGGTTTTTGTCCCGGCGACGGCCCAGGCGAGTAAGAAGACAAAGGCAAAAAAGCTTGCGAAAGCCTTGGGATGAAGGGTCGACCTCCGTCCCACCGTAAGTGTTTCACACGGAGACTGCCGTGGAGGACGTGCATGGCAGGAAGTGCAGTGATGTGGTGTGCAATTTGTCAGGTTCACCACAAGGACCCTCACTTGTGGTTGTACATTGGTGTGTGTGGACCAGTTGTGCCATTTTGCCTCCAGGTGTTGAAACCTAGCCCCAGAAGATCATCATACATCATCTAAAATCCAATTGTGACTCAAGAACGCCAGCAGCTCAGAAAGGAGAACTTTTAGACCGCCAAAGTCTGCGAGGGCACAGATGGTGCTCAAAAGAATCTCCTATTGCTTCACAAGCAGTCGAAGCTCTCAATCCTCAAATAACCTTGAAGTCATTAGCGAGACACAGACCAGCCTCCGCACATAGGGGGAAGAGTCCTGATGATTTTGTGAGCACGATTCAAAGTATTTGTTTCTGAACGTTCTACAGAGAAATTTGTCCTTCAAAGGGGATTTGAGTGCTTAGCATCAAGTGTGTTTAGCATCGGCAAAGTGCCACCTCGGGACGCTTAGAAGCCTCAAGCGATGCAGTGCGGCGTGCACCAAAAGGAGCTAGGGGCAAAGGATCCGTGTGGAACTGATCTGATTTCAACAGGTCACAAGCATAATGCCATATATATATATATATATGACGCTGTACTTATTTTTTGCCCGCTCACCCCCGCTTCCAGACATGGACGCAGGATAGCTCACGTTTCTTCAAGGAAGCTCCCCCTGCCACCTTTAGGGCGGGGGGAGCTTCCTTGAAGAAGCGCTCGACCTAATCATTTGGTTCCTAGAGTTTTAGGTCACATTAATAT